GGGGGGGGGGGAGTGCCCCCACACTACCCCGCGACTGCCCATTGCGGAGCGTGCGTAACGCATTTTCCTATAAAAAAAAACTTATATAAAGTCTGACGCAAGCTATATCGATAACAAGAAATGCATAAAAAACATTAAACTAGAAGGAATGGTCGAAGTCATTTTGCAAATAACTGGAAATAACAATAAACTTTAAATATAAGTATAATAAAATATAATAAAATAGATATTAAATATAATAAAATGGATAGGCGAATCAACGCGTGTATTTGCTAAGCAAGTTTTAATATACTGTGAACACTGTAAGTATATATTTTATAGGCATGAAGTGTAAAAACATTGTTGGAGTTATTGGAATCACCGTGTGCCGCTCGATCGTCAGGTTAAGCAACGTAGTCAGGATGGATGGATGACCGGCATACCGCTTTGGATTCGAAATTATTGAGGGAGGATTCGCGAAAGTTTTAGAGTGTGTTTTGACAACCTTCGATTTCTAACAGTTATAAGACATGAGAAAGTTAGGAATTAGTTTTTTTTTATGAATCAATAAGAATAAGCACAGTAACGTTGAATCAATGTTGAAAAAATGTTGAATTGCAACAATGTCAATATTGCACCAACATTGAAAAACATTGAATCAACGTTGATATAATATAACACAAACCTTGATATAATGTAAAAATGTCCGCGATTGTTGATTTTTCCTTGACATTTTCCTTACAGAAATATCATACTAAGAATCATTGATAATTACTTATTTTCAGTATTAAAAATACTGGATAATAAGTAATTATCAATGATTCTTAGTATGATATTTCTATAAGGGTTCAACATCTTATTTATTGTAAATGTGTGTAAAAACACACTCTAAAACTTTCGCAAATCCTTCCTCGATAATTTCGAATCCGAAGCGGTATGCCGGTCACTCATCCATCCTAACGTTGCTTAACCTGACGATCGAGTGGCACACGGTGATTCCAATAACTCCAACGATGTTCTTACAATTCATGCTTATAAAATCTGATAAAAATGTTCCTTTTTGTTCTAATGCATCGTTTAGAATGATGAGTTGCTGTTGATAGCAGTCCGCCATAACTATTTCGTCTGATTTCAACAGTTCATAATATAACACATCTTTCCAATCCCATCAGATATACAACAAAAATTTCTAAGCGTGAATATTGAGCTGTGCAGTCATCAGTTGGCCACAATCTACCCATTATTTTTTCTGCGTGAAATGTCGTATGAATTTTCATCACACATGATAATTTAGTGCAAAAATTATCTATAAACTGTATAATTACTAATTACTAAATATTTCTTTTATTAATAATTTTTTAATAAACAACGAGCGACGGTTAAAACTTTTTGAAGGTTACTCAGGAGGATGACCTCTACAACATATGTCAAGGTCAAAATCATTCCCCTATATCGAGCTATATCCCCTATACTGCATAATTATCCAATACAGATATTGTTCCACTAATATATTTTTAAAAAAGCAAATACTCTTTTTCTTTCTCTCTCTTCTTCTTTCTCTCCCTTTCTCTCTCTCTTTTTCTCCCTCCCTTTCTCTCTCTCCTCCTCCCTTCCTCTCTCTCTCTCTATTTTTCCTTTCACATTTTTCTTATATCATAATAATATGTTATTTCAATTACTTAATAAATTTTCCTTATATCATAATAATATGTTATTTCAATTACTTGGTAAATTTCGAATAAAACATTTTTACATACCGTTAAATCTTTCCAATCATATCGCTGCGAATTAGATACTTTGTCATCATGTTTTGGAGTGTCGTTAGATATTGGACAGATATCTGTGTTGATATCCTTAGTTTCGTTATAGACTATTGTCATTTCCGTGATTGCGATCGAGAGACAAACTCTCATACTGTATGCGTTCACAATAGCTAAAACTCCCATAATAGCAAATACCCATCGTTGTGGCACTCGATTGCCTGTAATCACAATTTTTCAAATTGTGTTAATAATTCGCTATTTCTGAAGCTTAAGTGGATGATTCACAGAAAACATAAGCCTTAGTAAACATTAATTATATCTATATTACAATATCATAGAAATAATAAGTAATAAAACATAGATTACATGTATTTTATGTATTACATACAGAGTGTTTGACATATAAAACCACGTGTGAAGATAGAACACGTCAACTTGAATACAAAGCCCCCTGGCATTTTGCAAATAATTACGTGAAATTTCGAAATATTATAACAAGAAAATTGATGAATTGAAGCACAGCGCGCAACGTTGTGGAACAAGTTTACCCACACAGCACCGAATGGTTGCAGAAATGTTGTAGAAATATTACATTGCAATTTTGTAATATTGCAGCAACGTTGCAGGATGATTGTAGCAAGGTTGCAATGTCCCTTGTTAGAGAGATTGTAGTGTATTATTACAGCAATGTTGTGGAATAATGTATTTGCAATATGTAACGTTATTGTATACGGGATGAATATGAACAAATAGATAAAATTGTTTTACTATGCAAGATTGTTAGCATTGCGTTACCGACAGTCTCGGCTCTGCAAATGGCGGAAAACGCAACCGTCTGTCCGGCCGGGACAACTCATCCTCGTGAAAAGTCCGAATCTTCTCCCGTGTAAATGGGAGCTCGGCCGAATTGTCGAGGATCATCCGGGACCGGACGGCTTAATTCGCGTCGTCTCCATCAAAATGGCTGCGTCAGAGTATGCGCGGCCCATCGGTAAAATTTGTTTATTGCCGATCGATTGCGATGCGATGCCCTCGTGAGATGTTCGTGCGATATTTATGTGAGTTGCGCTGCGTTTATGTATTCGAATTGTATCGTCTTATATTGTGCAGCTCTCCAACTGCGGTGGAAGGTCGAATGCACATATCAGTTTATTGCGACTCATTGAAACTGAAGCTTCAAGGCAAGCGGTATGTTCGGGATTCTAATGAGGATCTCGAACAATCGGAATTTCATTCTAGAACATTCTTGCTTTAAGCGGCTCGCACGAGGCAATCGTGAGCTCCGTTGTCGCGTCGGTCTCCCGCGGTACTCGCATCCTTTTTTCTGTATAGCTCTCGCTGGCGAGTCGCGGTTGCAACCTTTATAGAAATATCATACTAAGAATCATTGATAATTACTTATTATCCAGTATTTTTAATACTGAAAATAAGTAATTATCAATGATTCTTAGTATGATATTTCTATAAGGGTATGATTACCTCACGGCAAAACACGCTTCCGCGAATCGGTAAGCAGCACGCGTGAAGAATCATAGACCTCGCACGCATTACCAAATAAGATAATTTTTCGTGCTAGCCGATGACACCGCAATCGCGACCAATCAGCGAGCAACTTGTTGCTAACCCTTGTAGAAATATCATACTAAGAATCATTGATTAATTACTTATTTTCAGTATTAAAAGTACAGTATTTAGTAATATTCTGTGATTCAAATACAGCTTTTAGTACTCAAGTATTTCAATATTTAATGTTATAAACCCTACCTTATGATTGATTTCAATACTTAAATATTAATATGTAATACTTCGTCCAGTGATAACATACTTACGCAGAACATTGTCAATATTTAAATACTAATATATAATACTTTGCTAAGTGATGAAATACTTACGCAAAGTACTGTTAACATTAAAAGTATTAACCCAGACAGCATACAATATTAGTAAGTTATTAGATAAATATTTATAAATATATATTTTGAATTACTTTTTTAAAATATTATATATATTTATATATATATACAGGGTGGACCATTTTAATCCATCCAGTCGAATATGTCGAAAACCAAGCACGGGAGAGAAAAATTTTTCAGACAAAAGTTGTTTGGTTTCGAGGGGACCATAAGATGGTACCATTGCTTTGACCTTGAAGAATTATTTGAAAGTCACATGAAAGTCACCTCAATTTTTTTAAACGGCATCTCCTATTTTTTATTACATATTCTTGTAGCTGACCTCGAGAGCTTTCCAATTGACATTCACATTGTAATGAAATGTTTCTTCATTAAGTACTTTTCGAGTTATAAAGCTCCAAAGTTGCAATATGAAAAAATTCAAAATATCTCGTAAAGTATTCACTTTCCGTCTTATCTTACACGATTCAACCAGTCAAGGCAAGAATTGGACATGATCCAACCGGTCAAGGCAAGATCTGGACATGATCCAACCAGTGAAGGCAAGATCTGAACATGATCCAACCAGTGAAGGCAAGAATTGGACATGACCGGTTGGATCATGCGTGCTATTAGGGTAGCGATCCGTGGTTATATAGTCAAAGGCACGCCAAGTGCTTTTTGTATAAGTCTATAATTTTTTTATCAAAATTATTCTATTTATAATTATTTATTTTGTAATATTTAATATATACATATTTTTATATTTCTTCATATTTAATATTAAAATATTTATGTTAATAATATATAAAATTTATTTTTCATATACAATATTAAAATTTTATGTTAATGTTTTATATGTTAATGATCTGTGTAATATATAACAAATAACGAAACATGAAATTAAAAAAACAAAAAATATAATAATGAAAGTTGTTATGTAAATCTCTTTTATTATTATTTTTGGAAGAAATACAAAATTAAATTTTTTATAGAAGCTTCTCCGACAAACAGTTTTATATAATAACGTTTTTCTTAATATTTATCTACTTTAAATATTTATATAGTTAAAAGAATTTGTGTTTATAAAAGTGAGAACTGAAATGTTAATGATTAATCATTCGCACTTGGCGTAAACCTCTTTATATCATTACTTTTGTAGAAAGTACAAAATTAAATAGCTATAGCTCAAAATTAATATTTTTGTAAAAATTTGTAAAATATCTTTTAACAGGATTTGTTTGTTATATTTTTTTTGTAAAGATTCTTTGCATAACAGTTTTTTAAGTAACAATTTTTATCCTTTGTTTTTTTTTTGTAAATAGCCAACTGTTATACAATTTTTGTTTAGTTGCTTCTTTAATATTTTTTGTAATGACAATTTTTCTGAGTAACAACTTTTTAGTATAATTATTTTAAAATGTTTTCTTTTATTGTATTTTTCAGTAAAGTATTTTCGAATGTACAATTGATCGGGCAAAGAGATTGTTTAAATAATAATTTTTTAAATATGTTTTAGCTGTTTTTTTAGTTTTCTTATGTTGTTTAAATTTTTTATCAGATTTTGTTGTAATTTTTTATGTAAAGATTTTTTTGTAAATTTTAAAATAATACGACAAAGCGCGTGCACTTGGCTTCTTTTTTTTACTTTTTTTTAAAAAGTAATTTTTTTCGGATATCACATATTTTTTTTACAAAAACAATAATCTTTTAAAAATAAATTTGTTTAATTAGAATAATTTTATTTCATTCAACTTCCACATTGCATATATGTAGCTTTACGCAAATAGTAGGTTCTTTAAATTTTATTTCAAAATTATACATTAAAAAAATGGAAGAGGTTCCACCTCCACCCCCGTCGAATTTTCCAACCATACGACGGTCCTCTTTGCTAATGTTGTAACACAAACATTAATATTGTGTTCTTTATTGTCAATTTGCAACAGAAAAATATAATATATTCTTAACGTTTCTTGGTGATTGTCTCTTTATTTACGTATCAACTATAATGCAAATTGTAATCCAGACAGATATTGAAACAAAGTTAAATCAGCACTTGGTTGATACACGACCGTGTATCTTGATGTTATATATTGTTAGCAATTGTCTTTTCTATATATACATGTATATACCAAAATTTTAATATTATTCAATGCTATACACCAAAAAAATAGAATAATTTCCACCTGCGTCCTTGTTTTATTTTTTACTATATTATTATAAATATACGACAATCCTCTTCATTTTAATATTATTATTATACATTTTAATATTATTATGTAAACATCTGTTTTATGTGTTCTTCATTATCAATTTGCAACATGAAAAATGTAAAATATCATTAACTCCTTTATATCAGATAGTATATCAAAATCAAATCACTATATATTGTCGTCAATTTTCTCTGTGTATCCTGTAATGAAAAAAATAATATCGCATATATAACAATAATTT